GGGGCCAGGATAGCACAAAGAACAGGCTGAGAGAGCAGGGGTTGCTCAGACTGGAGAAGAGAAGGCTCCAGAGAGACCTTAGAGCACCTTGCAGTCCCTAAAAGGGCTACAGGAGAGCTGGAGAGGGATTTTGGACAAGGGCCTGAGGGACAGGACAAGGGGTGATGGAGGGCAGGATTAGATTAGATATTAGAAATAAATTCTTGGCTGGGAGGGTGGTTTGGCCCTGGCACAGATTACCCAGAGAAGCTGGGGCTGCCCCATCCCTGGAAGGGTTCAAAGCCAGGTTGGACGGGGCTCTGAGCAACTTGGGATAGTGGAAACTGTCCCTGCTGAGCCCAGCACAGCAGCTGCACACAGCTGGAATTCCCTCCCTCCTCTTCTTCCCTGAGAGCCTTTAATTAGCCCAACACCCTCTTAGCTCTCACCTCATTAAGGGCCTGATCACCCTCCCCGCTCACCTCTCAGAGGGGTGTCAGAAAACAAAACAAGTCACCACCACATTCAGCAGCAGAGATGTCATCTTTGGGCAAACACTCGCAGGAGACGAAGGAAACAAAGAAAAGCTTTGGTTTGATGCAAAATCGTCACACTTTTTTTTTTTGGTACCATTTTCTGCTACAAAAGAGAATGAGGGATGAACCACCACCTACTGTGAGGAAGATAGAGGTCAACCTGCACCAGAGAGAGAGAGAGCAGTTCCTATTTCAGTGGTAGCAATAAACAAGAGGCAAGACAAAAGTGTGTACCCAAAACATTTAATAATTCATGCTGCATGTGCTTTGTTTTAAACCTTCCCTGCCAATTTAGCTGATATCCAAAGAGCTGGTGAGAAATTATAATATCAGGCTAGTTAACCATGCTGGGTTAAGTGCCTGTTTTATTTACACCTCTGCATCCTAATTTAAATTTTTAACAGGGTTGCAGAGATTTAATGAGGCAGATCTTAATCCATACAGTCAGGGTCCAAATAACAGTCCCCTTCAGAGCCTTAACTTCCAGCAAAAACACTCTTCCTATCCAAAAAAAAGAAGATTCCTTGTACTGTGACACAGCTCAGGAGAAAAAAAATGTAAAGGGTGATTTGAAGGATCTTTAATAAATTTATGTGAATGGCTACAAGGTCTGAAATATTCTCTGAAAAATGGCAACCACTGTCTTGACTCCTGAAGTACAACACAGCTCAGATGAGGGGGTGTGAGAGGAACAAGTGCAGGGGAAGCAGGGAAAGAGGCAGAGACTGGAAAAAAGGACTGGGAGAACTCCTTTTACCAGAACTGGCTAAGCTACAGCTTCCTAGGAAAGGGTAAACTTGAGTACACAGGTCAGCAAAGAGTGATGGGAACTGTTTAAACCCGAAGACAAGTGGCTATTTTTAAAAATCTCATGAAAATGTTAAGGTCACAAAGTCTGAAGCTTCACCCCAGCCCTGCTCTGGAACAGCCTTGAGCACAGCAGATGAAGCCAACACAGCCAAGGGTCAGAGAGCAGGTGCCCCATAACTGCAGGACACTGGATTTGGGATCCCCAGGGCATGTCCCAGCACCACTGAGGGGCTTCTCCACAGCCAAATGCTGCATTAGGGGGGGACACACCAGCCAGGCAGGCATCTGACACTGCCCTTTCAGCCCCTCTGTCCTAAAGATCACAGCTAGGCTGGACATCAGCAAGAATTTCTTCACTGAGAAGGTGGTTGAGCACTGGAACAGGAGCTGCTGGAGTGGCTGTCCCTGGAGGTGTTCAAGAAACAACTGGATGTGGCATCTGTGCTGTGGTCCAGCTGACATGGTGATGGTGGGGCAGAGGTTGGTCTCTCTGATCTTGGAGGCATTTTTCAGCCTAAACTGTTCTGTGATACACAAAATAGTTCACAGTGGGCCATAAATGCACATGAAACTCCAAACTCTGCCAGCTGCCTGTGGAGAGCCAGCCTGATTAACGGGAAACACTCCACATTCAAGAACTACGTGGTGAAGTCTCCTCCTCCAGAGTAACCGAATTTAAGTTTCCCAGTTCAGTTACTGATGTTCCTGCCACCATAAGGGAGGCAGAGCAGCTCCTGATTTTATCAAAGCTCTAAGCACCCTCCACACCCAGCAATCCACCTGAACTGTGCAAGCAGCTCACCCCCAGCAGCAGCAGCTTAAAGAGGTGCCACCCCTGCAAGTGCCGAGGGGAAGGTGTGGTTGGACCAAGGTGGTGTTTTTAAGGTCCCTTCCATCCCAAGCCACTCTGTCATTCCATGATTCTTTGCTGTCAGGCAGGGTGGTGGCTCACAAGAGCACCAAACCTTACCTGCCAGTGCAGACTGAGGGACCCACCCTCAGCAACAGCCCCACAGTGGTGCTGTGATCCCAGCTGTGATGGTGGCTGATCCATCACCCCTGGCCCTCAAGGTTGTCACAGAGAAAGTGTCAACCAACCTGCTGGGCCTCAGCTCATCCCTGGGTCACATCCCACGTGGGAACAGTGACAGGGGGCCAGATTCTGTTGTGCTCTATCCATAAGATTTCCACTAAAAAACCTGCAAGGATCTTGCAGAAGGGGGAACGTGGCATTCCAAAAGGAATGTGGTCTCTTTCCAAAGTGTGTTGGGAAGTTTACACGCTGCTCCTGAGTAGACAAGTTGAACCAGCAGCTCTCTGGATCCAAAAAGCCCTACAGAGAAAGCTGCAGTTCTCAACTGGTTAGAGAGACATACAAATTCTAGGCACAGAAACAAAATATATAATCAATTCTCCCAGACAAGTAAAGCCTTCTCCTCTGCTGTGTCCTGTCCCCATATCCTGTAATCCCTTTATAGGATTTCTCTGACTGGGAAGGGCAAGTAGAACCAGTCTCAGCACAGAGTCAAGGCAGGAGGACATTTGTTAACCAGCCCATCTCCCAAGAGTCCACTGGAGAGAAGGATAAGCTCACCCAGACACATTTTCAAAGCATCTCCACCTGCCTGTGCAGTTTGATTTTTAAAACGGTTCTGCATCCGAGCCAGGCAGGTGAATCTACAGACGCAATTAAAGCACAGGCAGTTTGGCACAGATGGTCCCCAAGAAACAGAGCAGCAGGGGTTTACATTTAATGATGAGCCAGGCCCTCCATGAGGCAAAGTCAGCAAGACCCCCGTGAAGGCAGCAGAGCTCACTCAGCTCCCTGAACTTCTTCCAACAGCGAGCAAGGCACAGCCTGTCCCAAGAGGAGCAAGATCCCTCCTTAGGGACCCAAGCACACACCTGGAACAGCATCCCCAAAAAACCTGAGCACCCTGGGCTGGAGCTCAGCGCAGCTTTACAGGAATGCACTCCCAAACACCTTGGATCTGGCAGCCTTTGGATAATTCTGAGGGCAAACACTGGGAACTGTAATTTTGGGAACCACGCCTCCAAATGCCACTCCACCACGAGGATGTGGTGCCCCCTCACTGCCGTCACGCAAAGAGGTGTCAGAATGCAGAGCTGCAGCTCAAAACCCAAAATCTTCCTCTTCCTGCTTAATGGGGGCAGCGGGATCCCCAGGCAGAAAGCTTTTCCCCAAGTGCTCATTGTTCCACTTTACAGGATGTGGATTGGTGATCCCCAGCACCAGCGGAACGTTCTGGCTCACTGCACCAAGGTCTAGGTGGAGCAGGAGAGATTCAGACCACAGAAGCTGTGCCAGCTGCCAAACCCCCCCAGCACAGAGAGCACCATGTCCCTTGGCTGACAGGCCCCTGCAGAGCCAGACCCCAGAGCCAAGAAACCCACAGCTTTCCAAGTGAATCATCAGCTGGGAGAGCTGGTTCCAGCTACAGCCCACATTTGCCTTTAGAGGAACCCAGAGGAGAGAAACCAGAGCTCAGAAGGAACCCAAGAAAGTTGCACCAGTCCTATATTGGAGCAGAGATTTTTTTTTTTTTTAAATGCCTGTGCAGAAAGTCTCATTAAATAGAGAGTGAGACCAATGCTCAGTTGAGACAGAAATCCCTCTTATCTTCCCCTGCAGAAACCCAGGCTTCTAAAGGAGATCCCAGAGGGCTATAAAACACTTTAGCCTCCTGATTCATACTGCCCTTGCTAAGCAGAGCCTGAAAGATCAGGTTTTCCCCACACAACACCCTTCCTTCCCCTGCTGCCACTCTCCCATCAGCACCACATCCTTGCCTTGCCAAGATACATGCAAGATTCATCCTGGCAAAGGGAAAAGTGCTGCAGTTGGAGTCACAGGAAGCTCAGGGCAGGCTTCAAAGCAGGCAGCAAACGCCTTGCACAGGCAGCGGGGAGGACTCCCAGCTTCTGCTGCCCTCCAAACTTAACAGGAGTGAGAGTTATTGCTTCCTGCAGAGGAAAGATGCTGATGAGATGTTGTCTATGGCACCCCACCTCTACTCAGAGGAGAAATACCATCTGGCAGTGCCACCCCTGGAGGGCTGCCAACCTTTGCAGTAAAATGCGAAGGCAAGAGAAGGTCAAGATGAAGGAAGGGGAGCAGACACAGGCAGAGAGATTAATTCCTGCCAGGTGGTATCAGTCCAGACACTGGAGTACAAAACTGGATGGATGAGCAAGCAGAGAGGAGTTCAAGTAGGAGAAAGAGCAAGAAACCATTCTCTGCAGGAAAATTGCATATGGGCTGAACTGGTAACAGATCAGAGCTGCAGAGCAGCATCTACTTCACCTCAGCATCTCTGGGTGGGTGTTACCTGGTCCAGAGGCTCTGCAGTGGATGCACACACCAAGTATTACAGGTGTGCAGAGCCAGATTCTGCTGCAACAGCAACAGCCCTGCTGCTCCCTGTCCAAGGGAAAAGCCCATCCCTCCCACCCCAGCCACCGGAATTGCAGGCATCCCCCATGACACCGTTCACTGCTTGCTTCCTGTGCCTCCTGCCAGAGGACAGGCTGTCCAACAACTTTATTGGGAACAATCAGACATGCAGGTGGCAGTGTGCCAAGCAGACAAACTGGGGGCTCGGTGTCAGGGCAGGGGAGCCCCTCCACAGGCCTGACCCTTTTCCTCGGGGGTACCTTCCGACTCCAGGCGGTCCAGCCCGTAGGTCCCGGCCGTGCTGATCCTCCTGGCAGAGGGAAGGGCTGTTCTCCGGGCAGAGGAGGCCATGGATGCTGGAGTGACCAGGACCACAGTTCTGCTGGATGGTTCCTCTGTCTGTCCAGATGGGGTAGAAGGCATCCCAGCAGGAGATGGGACAGCTTTCTCCCCGGGGAGCAGGATCCCATCCGTGAGATCTACAGAGGGCGGGGAAACAGCGACAATAATTCAGCACAACCATATTTAAAACCCTACCATTTAAGAACAAATTCCTTCATGAAAACTTAACTCTGACTAGAAGTTATTAAGCTTTTGCTCCCTTCAAGAGGTGACTGTACTCGAATGAAACTTTCTCCTCAAGGACAATAAGCACAGGAGGTTCCCCTTAATGAGGGAGGGAACCCTCAAAGAAAGTTTTAATTCCTTTGCTTTGAGGACACCAGTTGATATCTCAACCAAGTGACAGATCTAATTGTTTATCGCAAAGATAAAAGCCAGCTGAATTTATAATTAAATCCCAGAAGCAAATTAATTAGTGGAAACTGCCAGAAGAACCTTCTCCCTCCTGCAAAGGGACCTGAAATTAAGAGATACAATGCAGAAAGGTTTTATTAATTTTGAGGCTTTGCAATACAAGAGCTGCCCAGCAGCAGTTTCATCACAGTGGTCCCACTACAGAAACACTCCAGCTCAGAGCCAGCCTTGTGCTGAGGGCTCCCTTGCTACACTCCTGTCAGGAAATCAGGCTCCTCCATGTACCTGCCAAGGTGACAGGGAGCCAGCAGGCAGCAGCCTGACAAACACGACTGCTCAAAGCATTCCTGCAGGAGCTACAGCTTGACAAGGACTCACCACTCCTCAGCAGAGGGGAGATCAGGGCAGGCTTCCACACCCAAGGGCTTGTCAGACTCCTGCTAGAAGGTGTCTTTACCCCCCCACACACAGCTCCTGTGTTACCCTGATGAAACATTTTCCTCCCTTGGACTGAGCACCAGCAGTCTGTGACTGTCCTGGGCTCCAGGAGTAAGAGCTCTCCCTCCATAAATAAAAAATGGCTTAAGTGTCTAAAGCTAAAAAGCAGCTCGCTAGCAAGGATAGACAAGGGGGGTTCTGTGTGGTTTGGGGCATTTTTTTAATCTTTACTCCACTTATCTGGGGCAAAAAGAAAAAAAATCTTACCTTCAACATCCAGAGTGTTCACCGTGGAGGAAGCACCAGTTGCCAGCAGCACCTCGGTGGCACTGGGAGCTGTCAGCATCTGGGTGTCCTCCCCGCTGTTCTCCTGAGGAAAGCTTGCAGCCCCCGTCCCTGGGTAGCACCAGGCACCACTGTCACAACTGACAGGCCAGCATCAGCCTCCTGGGCAGCTGTTGTCACCTCCTGAGCAACACCTACAGCAAGAACACGTGTCAGGACCAACTCACAGGACACATCTGAAGGAATGTAACTCCAAGCATCAGCAATTCCAGGGCCACAGTGCCAGAATCAGGTCCAGCCAAGTATCATCAGGGCAGCTTGGAGTGACCAGCCCTCACAGCTACGAGACTCGAGCTTTGCAGAAGGGTTTATTTTTGTGGCACAAATCTCATTGACAGACAGTGTTGTTTTCCCATCAGCTGGGAAGCAGCAGAGATGGAACCTGCTGACAAGTCAAGTGCTTACAAATTAATCTAGAAATTAATCAGTCAGGTTTCAGCACCAGGCTGCAATGAGCCTTTCTTCTTTTACAGTAGAAACTGGGTCTTTTGGATGCAGTGAAGGGAAACAGTCCTTTGGCCTCTGTAGCCTGGGAGGGAAAGATTAAAGATACCCAGGAATTAAGAAGTCCTAAGCACCAGCTCATGTTACCTCACCAGCCTAGAAAGATTTGACTGCCCAACACCTCACCAGGCTTTTTTTAGCATTTCCCCTGTGTTTTAAACCTTTTGCTTTACATTTTAGGTATTGAGCAGTCACTGTCACGAGGCTGGAGGTGCCACCTCTGCCGGTCTGTGCAGGGCAGGGCAGCACCAGCAGCCTGCAGAAGGCTGTCCAGGAGGAAGAATCCTGCCTGGTGACAAAGCTGGCACAAGCACAGGGCAGCCACAGCTTCACTCCAGGCTGGGGAGACAACCCCAGGACAGCAGCTCACTGGACAAGCCTTTCGAACTGAGTGTTCTTGGAAAGTCATTTAAGATGTCAGGTACTCTGAGGCTGCTGGTACAACTCGCCCATTCCTGGGATTTTGGAAGCATTTACAGCCATCCATTGCATCCTGCATGTTCTGCACTGACTGCAAGTGAGATCCCAGATGCCAATTAATTTAACCCCCCAGGAATTCTTTGGTTCCTATCAAAGGGATTGTTGCGGGAATGTTTTCACCCTTGAAATAAAGTGTTTTACCAGTGGGTCAGAGGCTGTGGTCCCTCCCTACCCACAGAAGGTAGAGGGTTATTCAGTGACAATTTACCTACCTCTGGTCAAGGCAAGATGCCTACAACCAGACTACAGCTGTCCACACTCCAGCACCAAACCCAAAGAACATTACCAGAGGAAGTTTGTCAATTAGCAAGTCTCCACTGATGAGATTCCAGCTCTGCAATCCACACCCAAGTACTCCACATCCCTCAGCCCCAGGCTCGGCTGCCACAGCCTTTCCAGTCTCAGCTTTCCTATTTATTCCCACAACCACCCTCCCAGCCTGAGGAGCAGGAGCAGCTCAGCTCAGCTGCTGCACTCCCAGCCAGGACAGGGGACCACCCAAAGCCTGAGCCAACCTGTGCACAGGGAATCATGCACAGAAACAGCCAGGGTGCTGCAGTATATTATGGATGGCAACTACTCATTTAGGCTCTTACCCCTACCCAAGCCCCACAACCTTTCCTGGGGTGTGGGGGGAAAGATACCTGCAACAGAGAGAGGGTGTATCAAGGTCACACCTTTTCCCACTCTAATTCCCTGCAAGGAAGCCCAGATTCCCAAGAGCACCCCTCTCAAACCAACACTTAGAGGCAAGTTTTACCTTCCCATGAACTCTCCAGAGTAGGGGAGAGCTCAGGCTGTGTCTCTGTCCCCACAGCAGCCTCTGACTGTGATGCCAGGCTGCTTTTCTCCTCCTCTGCTGGGGCTGCACTTGTGTTCTCCAGCGAGTCCAGACCAGCCGTGTCTCCATCCGTCACATTCCCAGGGTGGGAAGCACCACTGCTGGCTGTGGAAGTTGCTGGCAGCTCCTCCCCTTGCACTGGCACTGTGCAGTTGGTCTCCTTGGCAAGCTCAGGTTCTGGTGGAGGGGACACCGGGGATGGCAGTGTTCTTGTTGCATCTTCTTCCTCCCCCACACCTCCCTGTGGGGTCTGGGATGGTTTTGTCACCCCCAAGTCCTCTGTCACCTCCTCCTGAGATGTGCTTCCCCCTTGACTGATGTCCCCCAGCTTTGTGTCATCCCAGTCAGGTGGCAGAGTGTCCACAGGGTGGGTGGTGACAGTGCCAGCCGTGGGGGGCAGCTCTTCTTGGGTGACCCCTGTCCCTGCTTCTGGGGGCAGGGAGGCCTCGGTCACCACGAGGGGACGTTTGGCAGCCACAGACACGGGTGGAGCCAGGGATTTCAGAGGGCTCCCCGTGCGGCCTCTCAGCATTCCCACCTCAGGGGTCACAGCAGGAGCCTGGGGAGTTGGGATAACGGGGTGCTCACTTGCTGTTTCCCAGCTGGGAGAGCTGGGGGGCAGTGTGGGCTGGGAGCTGCTCTCTGCCTCCTCCTCCTGCTCCTCGACAGTTGTTTCAGGAAGGGAGGGACTTGCTGAGGGGCTGGCAGGGCTGTGCTCTACTGCCACACCACCCTCTGTGGTGACCTCGCTGCTGGGGCCACCAACAGACTCCTCCTGGACAGGGGGGCTCAGCGTGGTCACAGCCGTGGTCAGCATGGCCTTGAGGGCATCATCCTCTTCCAGCTCTGACTTGGTGGGACCAAGCTCCTCCCCACTCACAGCAGCCACCGCCCCAGCAGAGGGCTGGTCACCCAGGGCCTGGGTGCTGGGGCTCACAGGGAGCACTTCTTCTGCAGTGAGAGCTTCATTCAGGGGTGTCCCAGACGGCTCTGCTGACACTCCACATGGCTCTTCAGAAACTGTCTGCTCAGAAGGGCCCAAGGTGTTTTTCAAGTCCACCACGCCTGTCCTTTCATCTTCCAGCCCATTCCCTGCCCAGGGGCCTTGCTGGACCTTTGTCACGTCCCCCTCGTCCAGGGGCTGAAGTGCAAGGCATGGCAGGCTGGAGGACAAGAGCAGGATGCTGCAGGTGACCACACAGATGTTAAATCCTACTGATCTCCCCATGGCTGAGAAGAGATGTGTCCAGGAGCCTGCAAGGCTGACAAATCCAGAGCGCAAGACCTGGGAAGGCAAAAAGCAACCAAGATTACACACACTCACACAACCACCCACCGACCCAGGGCCTTATAAAACCGGGTGACAAGTGTCAAGCTTTTGGCCAGTTGTGAGCAGACACCTCCTGGATATCCCAAGCAATTAACTCCTCCATCTGTTTTATGGTTCCTAGTCCACTCTATGTGAAGATGACAGGCAAAACCAAACCTTGATCTGGAGCCCAGGACAGCCCTTGCCTAGCTCTCATCCCAGTGTAGAGTGCTATGCTCCACCCAGCAGGCACCAGACTCGTAAGCAGTGGTGAGGATCAACCTGTGTGTCCTTTATGATGCTTGTCAGGGCCATAAAGTCCCAGGTTTGTTATGGCCAGTCCTGTTCTGTGCATGGACACGGGAGGAGACCAAGGAACTTGCACAGAGAACAAGATGGGCCTGTGAACCACAACTCAGGACTGGAGCCACCACAAGAGGCTTTAGGACTGCACCAGTGCCAGGTCCTGTCTGGGGCCCTTGGCCCCCCAGAGCAAACTACAGCCCAGAGCAGCAGCAGCGCTGCATCAGCACAGTGCCTGTGCTGCACTGCACCATGGAGGCACTTCCAGAAAGTTTCATGGCTATAAGCACTGGGCAAGTCAAGAGTTTCCAGGAGAGCACTGAACCAGGATCCCAGCAGTGATCCAGCCAGCTGACAGCCTGCTCTTGGCAGGCTCTGCTGCCTCCACTCACACAGCTCCAGCAGCAGGACAGACAGATCGGGCCTGCTCCCAGACACCTCCCCAGGCAGGTGTCCCTCAGTCCTGGGCTTGCTGCACCACCACCCCACAGCAGAGACCACCCCAGCCATGGTCCCTCTCATCCCATGCAGGACATCCCAGCCTCAGGCACACAGCAGGCCATCACAGTCTCCATCACACAGCAGACCCACTGTGGTCCCTCCTCCTCCTTCCAGCTCCCAGAGGCAGCTTGTCAATGGTGGAGTTAAGCCCTACTGCAGGAAGCTTCCAACCATCACCAGCTTCCCTCGCTTCCTCTAGTACATTCTTCCAGTCCTGCATCCAAATCTGGGGGCTCCAACATGAGGAACACTGACCTGTCAGAATGAGTCCAGAGAAGAGCCACTAAGTTGGTCACAGGAGTGGAGCACCTCTCCTATGGAGACAGGATGAGAAAGTAAGGGCTGTAGAAGAAAAGGTTCTGGGGAAACCTTAGAGCACCTTTCAGTGTCTAAATGGGCTCCAGGAGAGCTGGAGAGGGACTTTGGACAAGTGGAAATAGCCTTAAGCTGATGGAGGGCAGGTTTAGATTAGACATTAGAGATCAGTTCTTGCCTGGGAGAGGAGGGTGGGGAGGCCCTGGCACAGGTTGCCCAGAGAAGCTGTGGTTGCTCCATCGCTGGAAATGTCCAAGGCTACGTTGGACAGGGCTTGGAGCAACCTGGGATAGTGGAAGGTGTCCCTGTCCATGGAACAGGATGATTCTATGACTCGCAAGTGAACAGTAGGAATAACAAGTATTATTCAGGAAAGCTGTTGGGGTTGTGATTCACCTCTCAAGAGTTCCAAAGAACAACAAAGATCACTCTGTGCAGTCCTGCTCACAGGCACCAGGATGAGTCCCCCAGCTTGCCACACTCCTCATTTCCCCCTCCAAACAGCTCGTTGACAAGTATCACACTTGCATTTGCACACACAGAGAGCAGCAACACAGCTCAGAGTCAACCACTGCGGGCCCCAGCACCTCCTGAGCCCTCAGGGCACACTGAGTCACTTTTTCCACTCTCCCTGCAGCCCTGGCCCAGCGTTTTGAGCTGCTGGACTGATTCTCCATCACAGGCCACACACACAGGCACCAGGTGCTCAGGGACCAGCAGAAGCCACCAGAAGCTGTTTACCAGCGTAGATACCTTCCCACTTTATTTTTAGCACCTTCTTCCTCTGGAAGATGGGTGGCCACCCATCTATCTCCTCTATCCTTCCTGCCAAAAAATGGTTGAAAACTGACAATATCGAGCTCTTCTTTCACACTAATTCCTTATAGATTTTGTAATTAAAAAAGGACTAAGGGTATATTATGCAAGTTAAACTGTTAGGGCCCAACTACAGGCATCTGCCTTGCCATGCTGCTGAATATAAATCATGTTCACCTCACACCTCTTTAGCAAATGCCTGTCAGCATCAAGAAGTTGGGAGTTTTTTTTTTTCTATTTCAAAAAGAGTTTGGCTCTAAATACATTTTCCTCAAGAAGTCAGGAGTCCTCAAGGCTGCACAAACCCTCTCAGCAGTGGTTAAACCTAAACAGAACTCCAGCTGCACTTGCAAAAACAGCCCTAGCATTTCTCTTGCAGTCAGACACATTATGCATATGTATATACACATCTGTATAGGTAATTAGTAGGTTTGCAGCTCTAGGTTTTCCAGCAGCCCAAGACATTCAGGAGGTGGCTAGCAGATGAACTAAAATGTTAATTTCTTCCCAACAAGCTCACTCCATCTTGACTAGAATCAGGAGTGTCAGTGGATCAGAGGGAAAGCTGCTCCCTAAACCACTGGCTTTTAGAGATCCATTAATTAAAATGCAAAGAACCCTGTTAAGAGCCTTTCATCCTTCTGGGCTGGTAGATATGTGGGCAGTCAGTACCAGCCTGACACAATAATTCCTGAAGTCCTTTGGGTAGCCTCATATTGTTTCTCCCAGTCTGAAAAAGCACTTTTGGCCATAATCCTATATTTCTATGGGGGGAAAAAAAAATATTGGACAGTTATTTGCTCAGGAAATCCACAACGAGTAGATCTAAGCTAACCTAAACCTTTACATCCAGTGAAAGCGGGAGATAGCGGCACGGTGCTTGCTGCAGGATAATGGCACAAGTTCACACTTCAAAGAAGATTAGTCAGAGCTTAAGATCTACTTAGCTTTAGGAAGAGGCTGGATTAGGCAGTGTGTGAACAGCAGTGACCTGGCTATCTCCTTAAGCAGAGTTTGACACCTTGCTGCAGCACTTCCACTCAATGCAGGCTCCAGCAGGTATCTGGCTGCAGAGCACTCTGTTACTCGAGCTGCATTGAGGAACACATTTATCCTCCCATCTGGCTATTTTTACTGTCAGCCTGCTCTCCAGCCTTAGCCAAGCACAAAAAGCAGGCTGGAGCAAACTGCCCTGAGCGAGAACCCCCTCTGTACTGAGCCTCAACTTCTTTCATTACCAGCCTGGAGCTGATAAATCACTATTTTCACCCGCAGGAACTCCTTGTCCCCAGCTTTCACCTGGCACCCCACGAGCAGAAGCCCTGGAGGGCAGCTGCCAAAGCTCTCAGTGGAAAACTAATCCTGGCTTCCAATAGGAAGCACACACTGAGGGCGAGAGGCAGCGCCAGCTACTTCCCCTGCACTTCATAACAACAAATCCCAGGAGATGCAGCTCCCCCGGCCGCAAAGGCAGCACGGCTGCGGGCAGCCAGGGAGCTTCATCTTCTGCAGGCAAATTCACAAGTTTGCTTTTAACACCTGGTAGGCTGGAAAGAAAACACAAAGGACTGCCGGGCTGGAAACAGGGGCCAAAAGTCCAGCAGAAATAGTTTATTACTGTGGGCAAGTCAGGAAGCTGAGGGACAATAAATATGAATTGGTCACCAGCTGAAGCGGTCCTGTGCAGTCGGTTGGATCTTTCTGGGCCAGGCTGCTCCCCTGCTCCACACAATTAGCACTGGCAACAGCTCTTAAATCATTAGCCCCCTCTGTGAGTTCTGGAGACCTGTCTGAGGTCAGCTCTTGGGGAGCGACACAAAAGGCGGCTCAGAAGGAACCCCAGCCTGTTACGGCCACTCCAACAGCGCAGGTTTGCAGGGCACCAGCACAGAGCAGAGCAGATGTCCCTCCTTCAATAGCTGCTCCTTGCATGGACCAGTGGTTTGTGGGCACATGCTGCAAAGGATTAAACTCCCCCCCTCTGTCCCACTTGTGTGCAGCTACTCCCTCAGAGGCTTTTCAGACTTTCACCCTGTCGAGTTTACTTAACTAAACCCTCCCCCCCCAAAAAAAGAAAACCCATTTGCTGTTATTTTCTGCCTTTGGCAAGTTTTGGCTGTGTTCTCCCCTGAATTGTTGAAACAGAAAGAAAAAAAAAGGCATCAAGTTTTTAACTCACTGAATTACAACCCTATTCCAGCAATCCCTCTCCCACACTGTGTGAGGAGACACTCACACTGGGAAGGTGAAGTGGCTGCATGCATCATAAAGCAGAGAGTACAGGAGATGAACAGGTCAGCCCCAGACAAATCACTGTCTTGCCTTGGAACAGAGTTTCTTACACCTCCAAGCACCGGCTTGATGTCAGCCCTGCCTGGGTGTGCTCAGCGCCACAATTCACCTGACAATCGATACAGGAACTGGCCAAAACAAACAACAACAAACAAAAAACACCTCACAAATCTTTTCATGGGAAGATTTAGCCAAAACATACAACTCCAGCAACTGCCAGCCATCAGTGCTACGTTACACAGGGCTAATGTATGCAATCCAAGCCTCATTACTCGTGCTGAATACAAAAGCCAGCAGATAATACACTGCAGAGCTCCAACTCCTACTTTCTCGCACACAAGCCCGGAAAAATGCCTTCACTTCATCCTGTATTGTGTCCTTGCCCAGTTCAACCGAGTGAATTGGGAGAGCTGATGCTCTTACAGCACATACTTCAGATGAACAGACTCCACCAGATAAGGCACCTCCAAGAGCTCAGTGAAATCCCAACAGTGACACAACTCGACGCCAACACAAAGTCGAGTGAGAAAAATTATGTCAAGCCAAGCACACACCAGAGGGGCACATCCTCCCCTGCCCTCGAGGACTGGTCCTTACAAGCAAACAAATGAGATATATTAATATTCTGTAAGACCACCTTCCCACCAGTCCTACTGAGGCACCTTAATACATAATACATCACCTCCACTTCCAGCCTCGGCATTCCAGCGGTAGTTCTTTGAGGAGCCAGAGACATGACATGTTTTAGGCATTATTCCCCCAGCCACGAAGCCGATCCCTCGCTTTGTTCGGAACAGCACACGGACCACCTATGGAAATCCCTCCTCGGATTTGCCAGCAAAAGCTGCAGAGTTCTCCGTGCCTTTCTGACCCGTGCCAGGTCCCCGGCACCACAGAAGTCGAAGGTCTACCGAATTCCTGAGGGATTAAGACTGGGAGGAGGAAGGGGGGCTTAAGAATGAGGCCAAAGGGTGCAAGCGGTTTTTCAAGCAGCAGGATGGAAACGCTGCTCTCCAGCCTGCCTGGGAGCAGAGGGATAACACTCAGATTCCAATCAGCAAGAAACACTCCGGAATTTCAGCGCCTCACCTAAACACAGACAGCAGCACCTCACAGGAGAGCTGGAAGATCATGAGTCTCTGCAGGTGAAGGTTTAAGAGCAGATTAAATACACCTTGTCAGGCCCTTTCACCGTGGGTAGGACCCGCGTGGGATCCAGGGAGTGGGATCAGGGCTGGCTCAAGGCTCCATGACACCCCAGCACGCCGGCTTGCGGGGCACAGATCTATCTCCCTTGTCCTCCTCAGCCACACTGCCAGGTGAGCTTACAGCCCCAGAAGTGCATCCTTTCCCCACACGGCAAGGGATCCAGGGGGAACAACCGCCCCGGGATCCCTCCAACCCAGGCCCGCAGCAGGACGGAGGGACAGCAGCGGTCACCCCTAAACCACCCCGGGGAGAAAACACACGCCCAATCCCACAGAGATTTCCCGAGGGAGCCCACCAGGACCCCCATCCCGGCAGGACACCACCCCCACCACCCCCGCTCTCCCTTTTTCCCCCCTGCCCCATTCCCATCCCCTGAGGCTGCAGGGACCAGCCGCTCGCCGGGAACAAAGAGCCGCGCCGAGGATGCGCTGCCCCGCGGGCAGCCGAGCATCGCCGGCAAACAATAAAAACCAATTAAAAAAAAACACACACACAAACAAGGAACAAACACGGGGCGAAGCCAGCCCGGGGGCGGGATGCTGGCTGTGTGCGGGGGGTGTCCCGGCCTCACCTGGGTCCCGGCGGTTCCCGGCGCCGCTGCCCCAGCCCCGCGGCCGCCCGGGCGGAGCGGAGCCCGGCCCACCCGGCGGGCGGTGTCGGGGGCTGTGCCGGGCTGGTCCGCCCCGCCCGACCGCCGGCCCCCGCCTGCCCACGGTGGGCTCCGAGCTCCCCGAGGCCCGCAGCACCCGTGGGAGGCCGCCCGCAGCGCGGTTTTCCGCTTACTTTTCCATTGACTTTGGAGCATCCAAGCCCTCAGCCCTTCTCCCCCGCCCCACCCCTTCCCTCAGCATCCAACTCTTCCTCGCAGCCTGACCCGGCGGGTTCCCCCCTCTCTTTGGCTTGCAAGGAGCTGTGAAAACAAGGCCTGCAGCACCCTTAGTAGTTCTTTATCTATTAGAGATTCTCCTCCGGTGTTTTCGGCTGCAGAGGTCACCTTCCCCCAACACTCCCTCTGCACAGCAGAAAGACTTTTTAAATAGCCTTAAATAACACCCCACACGCATATTAGGAGAGCTTAATTCAATTTCCTTTTGTTTGTTATTTTGTTATAAGCACCTATTTGTGCAAGGAGAAAGAAAAGTAAACAGCTTTACTAATGCTTTCCTCCTCCCACCTGTCTTTGTCCCCAGCCAGAAACCCCCTAACCAACAACAGGAAAAGAAAAACCTTTGCAACCTCAGGCCCTGGCTCACCCATCAACTCACTTTGTCAAAGAGCAGCTCAGCAATTCGTACCTTGACTCCAAAAACAAACAAATCACAAAAATAGACCAGCTAAGCTTCCTCTTGCTTCCCCCAAGCCTGGTGTCAGAGGCACCACGAGCTCTCAGCACCACACTCAGGGTTTTATAGGGCAGTGACTCATTCAGAGCGGGGCTGCAGCAGGTGCAAAGCGTTTGTGCTGGGCAGGGGACAGGTGAGAAGAGACCAAAAATAACGAGCTTTTGTTCAGGTGAGATTTTGGGGGTGGAATTGCCCGGAGGGAATAGAGGAAAGGTATAGGAGAGGTGAGTCGAAATCTTGGCTTTGTTATCAACGTGCTCTGCCACACAAAGCAAATCAGTGAATCCTCCAGGCAAAATAAAACACTACAAAATAAGCTCCTTTTTTAATTCTCCCCCTCCCCGGCAAAGGGAGATGTAACCTGCTGGTACGTGTCACTCACCTCTTTAAATAAACATCATTGATCCATGAAAATGAGATATTCCTCATCAAGAAATTGTTCCTTAATTTTTTTTCTCTTTGCTCTGCTACATTTATATTAGTGGTTTGCTCTCTGTGCTAAACACACCCCAAGGTTTTACCTCTTCAATTTTAGGGAAACGGTGTGTTTTCTGCTGGATTTCAACCAAACTGGACCCAGCCCAACTCATTTGATTGTAGCATTGTGCATCCAATATTAAAAGTTTCAAAAGGCAGATTTGTTGTGGGTCAGGGCAGGTTTTTTTCCGGGTAATATTGCTAAGCTGTGCATGAGATGAAAATAAAGTGTCAAAGCGCCTGTATCAGCAGTAAAGACAATTGCTGGCAAAAGGCATGAGAAAGAGCTTCAGAGTTAGGTTTGATGGAGCAAACAGTCCGACAAAATGTTGGGAAAAGTTGCTTCTGGCTTTGCCTCTGTGAGTTGTAAAATCTGAGGAAATTATTCATTACTCAATATTTTCAGTGCTGCACCAGCTTTTGAAATAAAATACAAACATGTGAAAAGAAAGGAAGTTTACTCTCTCCTCTAAGGGGGACAGGGGCAGGGGAGAAGGAAGAGGTAAAAGCTGCATTTTTGGGGCCATTTTAAACATCCTTAAATCCCAGATTAGGGAGGTTCAGCTTCTCAGCAGGTTCAGCTTCTGTTCTGGCCGTTCCATTTTGGCCAAGGGTTCTGGCTGAGCAGAGGGAATGGAGGTGCCACTTCTGAAGCTGATGGTGCAGCCAGATTGTGCAGGGAAGCAAAATCAATGAGGGCTTATTTCCCAGCGCAGCTGGACATTGTGTGGTCCGGGATTGATTCCCGAGCTGCTCAGTCATCCATGTGCAGGGAGAGGGGCCTTGGGCAGTGAGTCCACCAGGCTCGAGCCAGAGGCTTGGCTTCAGCAGCTGCACAATCCACCCCTAACACCTGACCTGGGATCCAGATTTTCTAGGGGAAGATGTCCCTGCCCATGGCAGGGCCTTTGGAATGAGATGATCTCTTAAGGTCCCCTCCAAACCAAACCGGTCCATGATTCCATGTTACTGTTTTCAACCCCTTCTCTATCTAACCTTTAAAATTAATTACTTAAAATGTAAAGCATGTGTAAGGGATGCTCTGCTGTTCTCTAAGGGTGCAGAGCACTTAAAAGACTGGAGAGGTTTTCACTTCCCTCTTGACTCTGAACCCAGATTGGAGTCGTGTTCTCTCAAGGTTATATATTTCACTGATAATCACTGTGATCAAAATAGCTGGTTATCTCTGTTTTCTTTCCTGCCTAAAATTCCATATTCCCCGTACGCTGCAAGTTTCTCTACCCCGCATAACCTGCCAAAATCAGAGGCTTCTGCGTTATCAACAGAAATATCTGCAGACTTAAAAAAGGAGGTGTGATGGAAGCAGCAGAAATCAGAAATCACCAGAGAGCACTCTTATTATGTTATTCATTTCTATGGTTTAGTAATTGGAAATACTGATTTTAACTCAGATCAGTGTTCAGAGAGCACATCAATAACCAAACAAAACCGGCCCACAGCAAGTTAAGGAACTTCCATTCCTTTCTCTTCTTACCCTGGCTCTGGTTTGAGACATTTCTGTGCAATCCTCTCTTGGTCTTGTCCTTCAAGATCTCTCACCTCAGGTGAATTCAGGGTCTAAATTCAGATGTAAGCTGATTTATTCTTCCATGCGGGTCGTGTAGCTGGGAAAGAGTCGGAGTCATGTCCCATTCCCAGCTCTACCTCGTTGGAAGACTTCCAAAACTGAGCTTCACCACTCTCTGCCTCCACTTCCCCTTCTGTAAAATGGAAATAACCTAATTTTTGTAATAGCCCCTTATAAAATCTGTGTATTATTATAACAGCAGACTGTTGTGCCAAGTAATAACACATCAGCTTTCTTTTAAAGTTGATATTCCTGTCACACCCCTATTGCACAAACCAGAAAGTTTGTCCTAATTAAGAGACTGGGTCACATAAAAATTTATATGAAGGCACATTTTGTCTGTATAAATTTAACTAAAAAAAGAAAAAAATCATCCTGACATCAGAATGTTGCACCTTGTGCTGCTACTCCTGGCACCTGTGCTGAGATGCATCAGCTCTCCTAAGTATGTCAGGACATGCCACAGAAGGTAAAGGCAATTTTAAAATAGTTGCCGTTAATTTTGCTGCTGAATGACTTTCCCAGAGTGAATATTTGGGACATCCAGCACACACATCAGTGCACATCCCCATCCCACCATTCACCTTTACACCAGCTGGTAGCACCTGTTTTAAGGGGTCTGCTCTTCCCGCTGGAATGGAGTAGCAATGAGTCTAATTCAGGGGAGGTGAGAACAGCACTGAGAGGAAAATCTGTTTAAAACAAGTCCACTTTCAAAAAGGTGTCAGGTAGTTTGTGGCCAGTGAATTATTTCAAATGTAATCATGTTACAGATGGGCAGATTTCTTTTTCCTCCAACTGCAAACTCAATAAATTCCATCTGCAATTATATATCCACCAGGAGAATCAACCTGGATTCCTTTCTTCCGTGTTCCTCACTGCTAGCACTAAGAGGAAAGCTGAGCAAGGCCAAGAGATGCCAGCACAGCCTCACTGTTGCCAGAGATTCACAGCAATCAGTCCTACAAGGGGGCACGGGATCCAGCCTCTGCTTCCCCAGCTCTCGTGATTCTGAAGTGCCCACAGAGCAGGAAAGCAGTAAAAACTTATTTTTGTCACTGAAGTCAGCAGATGTGGCTTGGAGAGCACACAGAGACCAGATCTGCTGAGTAGGAAATGCCATTTTTACACACTCGCTCTCCAGGGTAGAGCCAGGCTCCTGCTGACTGCTCCAAGGTCACTGGAATCAGTTTTGCAGTTGCTCTGGGAATGACAGCCCGGGAGCGCCAGTGCTCCCCTCCAAAATTGAATCACTGCACACCCCTCACTCTTCTTCATATCCCTCAGCAAAATCAATGCATTTCATATCCAGGTACACCACATATTACAATTTTCCCAGAGCTGAAGTGCTGAGGAAGCCATCCCCATGCATATTGGAGTCTCAGCTAAAACATCAACCATCTATCAACTCCCTGTAGTGCTTGGATATTTTTTCCCCCCTGTCCTACATATTCCAGCACAAAATTAGGCTGACAATTAAAAAAGCACTTGACCCACCACCCCAGAGCAGGATAACCCCAAGCCCAGTTCTGACATTAAACCCTCAGCCTCTCCAGCATCTGAAATACAGTTGTTCACTTAATACAGGGACTTTGAAAACTTCAGCTCTCCTTTGCTTCTCAAAACTTGAAGTTAAGCTAAACCCACAGGTTTTAAAGTGCAGTGACAGTATTGCTACTCCATCCCCCCCAGTACAGTCCTTTCTAAAATAGAATAGAGGGGCTGAAAGACCCCACTGCAGGGACATTTGGGGTCTTTTCCCAAGACATGTGGTATTGGGACATCTGGGGAGGAAGTGCACGGTGTTCTGGTGTGAAACAGTGATGGTGTCCATCCAGACACCACTGGTGTTTTCATTATTCCCCTTTGGAGGGACTTTTAGGTTAGTCCACAAAACTTTGGGGGTGGTTATGAACACAGAAATACACATTTTTGTGCTGGAAATATTCAAATCTATTAAGCTGAAATCCTACAGCAGGAACCAGACCCAGCTGTGAACACATCCCCACGCAGTTGGGCTTTCTTCCTCTTCTCCTCTCAGCTGATAAGTGGATCCCCTGGAATCCATGCACTGGAAAAAAGGTGAGGAAACACTCAGCAGCTCTTTTATTAGGTCTAAAGCTGGCCCTAAGTATCCAACTCCCTGATTTTGTGAGGAAAAAAAGTGGGTATGTGCCTCAACAAGCCTGTACACAGAGATTAGGGAAGCTTAGAAGCGAGTACACAGACTAAGCCAGCCGATGTAGGGACACAAAAGACTGTTTATTTTATGA